AGGGAAAGAAACAGGTTGGATTTCTTACTTGCCTTTCCAAAACACAGCTTCCATTCCAGCAGCTTTTTCAGGTGCTGGGTTTTTTTTTTTTCAACGTATTTTTACAAGAATTACTGCTGAAAATGTCTGGAAGCTAACAAAAACTGTCAAGAGGGACAGTCTCTAAAATGTAGTGTCTGCTATACCCTCTTCGGCTGCATGTGTAGTGAGGACTAAATGAGAACAGTTTTGATCCTGTTGATGCTGTTCAGACACATGGATGGGATGTGGCTTCACACAATGAAATCAGCACCATAAAATGCCACAGATTCTTGCTTCCTTTCCTCCTGTATTTTCTTCATGTCAAGCTGAAATAATTACTGCCGTGCAGCGCAGACACTGGCAGCTGAAGTCACTCTGCAGGTGGGACATCACTCTCCAGACTAGTGATGTGCAGCAGGAAGCACCTCCCTGAAACAGAAACAGGACTTTCAAGGTCAGACAGCAAAGCAACAAGGCGGGGCGGGTAGGGAGGTAGGCGAGAGAAAGGGGGAAACACTGACCCGGTAAGAACCTGCACCTTGTTGCAGTTTGCAAACTCTGTATCATCCAACAGATTTTTAAAGCCTGGCTTTGCTCTTTTCCTCCCTCGCAGTCACTGACTGTGCAGAGTAAGAACCTCCTGAAAGCCCGGCCACTGCATCGCTTGTACCTGGGCAGTCACCTCCTGCTCTTTTCCCGGTGAGATTATCCTTGATCTGCCCCCAGGAGAGCTGGTTGCGTTTCCTGCACCAGGGCCAAGCAGCTCTGGATGCCGGAGCCCCGCGGAGCGTGGCCCTGCCGGGGGGCACAGCAGCCCCGGGGCTGGGAGAGCAGGGGCCCGGCCTGAGGGTGGGAGGGCAGGTTCATGCTATAAGGCTATGTTAATGCAATCCTTCTTTACTTGTTTTCCAATTAGCCTAATTGAATTCGGATTGCTTAAAAGTGGGCACTAGAGACATTTATCTTGATGGGATGACGGCCCTGAGCTCCAGCGATCCTATTAACTGTAAGAGCCCAAATCCCAGGTAGAGTCTGTCCAGCAGTAGCTCCCATGTGACTGAGGGCCTTAATCTGCTCCTCTCGGTGCAGCGCACACACACATGCACACACGTGCACACACATGCACACACACACACACACACACACGCACACACGTGCACACACACACGCACACACGGGCACACACGCACACACACACGCACACACACACACGCACACACACATGCCTGCACACCTGTGCACAGGTGCAGGCACACACGTGCATTTGTGCACACATACACACAGCTGGGCACCCCCGTGGCACACACCAGCACACATACGCACACACGTGCAGCAGCTGCCTCTTCAGGTTCCTGCAGCCTTAGGAGAAAGGCTGTTTAGAGCAGTGTGTTGGAGCAAGACCTTCTTTCCTTTCTCTTAAGAGCTGGAGCAGAGTCTGTGCTGCCCAGCCACCCTCCCGCACTGCTCCAGGCTCCCCCGTGGCATCCTAGTGACAGCCTAGTGACATCCACCCTATGTGGCCTTGCCACCTCCTACCCCTATGGGTAGGAGCCTGGCAGGGAGCAGGGCAACCACCCCTGCTGCCATGAGGACGTGCTGAGGACAGGACAGACTTGCAGCTGTGCCCTTCCCATCACACTGCCCTGCACGGGGCCTCTCAGAGGGGTTTGGGGCAATGGTGCTGGCCCCCGAGGGGCTGGGAGCCCCTGTGCCCCACCACTCCTGCACATCTTGGTGCCAGCCCCAGGGCAGGGGCAAGCCCTGGCCCCAGCACCCCAGGGAAAGCCCATAGTGAAGAAAGTAGCACCTCCTGCAATGTAGCCCAGCTCTGCCACTCCAGACCAGGGGTTTTAAGTCTCTGGCTCTAAAAGTGGTGGCCCAGGCAGTCCCGTCCCCTCCCAGCAGCAGAGCAGTGTGGCTGTGGCTGGGATCTGGGATGGTCCCACCCTGCAGGTCCTGCACAGCCCCAGCCCCCTCCCAGCCCCTCTGCCAGCTCTGCCAGTTTTTTTGAATCTCGTTAATTGCTTGTTTGGTGATTCTGACTGTACTTTCTTCTCTGACCCTTTAAACTGTGAAAAGGCTGATCCTATATGTGCTGACGAAGTTAATTAGCTCCTTTAAACCACTAGATGCTTTCAGTAAGATTTTCAGGATGTCCGAGGTACATTTTAATTCAAAGGCCAAAAGCCTGAGACTCTTTACCTCAGTATTTTATAGATAAGACAATTCAGTCTGCAAAGTAGCAGAGCAGTATGGAGACACCTACCAGATTTATACAGACGCAAAGGGGAATGGTCTGATCCTCAAAAAACAAAGGCTAGTTGAGCTGAGCTGGTGACTGTTTTAACTGTTTTCCACAGACAATTAAATTCTGTGGTGACATGTGAGAAGAGGATCCCAAGTGACAGAAGCTGGACCAGAAGTCTTGGTGGTTTTGGGCAGAGTTAGCATTTGCTGTTGAACGCACTGAAGATCATTCTTCTCCACTGAATGAATGACCTGTGAAAATACAAGAGCCACTGATGTGGATGGAGCAGGACATCCTGTGGAACAAGCAAGGAAGGTAAGTTTAACAGCTCTTGCATTTCTGTGAGCAAGAAGAAAAGGCATATTTTCTTAGGACTACAAAATGGAGCAAGTATCTAATAACAGGTTTTCAAACAAACCTGTGCAGCTTATATTTGAAGAGTGATTGCTGAAAGAGCTTTTCTAAGATGATCTCTTGCATCCAACAAGCTCCTTACCCAGCTCCTCATCTGGGCAGCAGGATTTTTTTTGGTGTCACCTGCAGTGGGTTTGCCCTACAAGTTACTGATGTTTTCTCCTTTCACAGACTCAGGCTTGGCACTAGTGCCAGCCGTGGGTGTCTCAGGATTTGGGTTCCAGGTGGGCCAGGTTTCTGATGAGCTTTTTATGGAGAGAACTTCTAGAATGAAGGCAGGGAGCTCATTTTAGCCTGTGTGGGTGATTTGCTGGTACCCCAGGGCCCAGAATTTGGCACACGTGGCAGCCAAACAGAGGCCACAGCTGTCACTCCGTGTCACTGCACCTGAAGACTGAGGGGCTGTGGCTCCCAAGCAGCCTGGAGAAGCCAGC